GTTGGATTTAGAAATAATAATTTGTTCCTATGGTATTCTGTGATGTGCTCAACAGTGAGCTTTTAGGCAATAAAGATTGGTAAGAAATATAAGCATTTGTTGAATTTCATCACAATAACACTGTGAGAACTCTGCTAGTACAAAAATAAAACAGTTTTGTTAGTTGCCGTATATGATTTTGAATGTAATATCTTACTCAGATGAAAGTACTTAAATGACAAGTTTTTTAAAATAATGTACTAAGAAATATTTGAATCTAGAAAGGAGGAACTCAATGAGCAATTAAAACTATGTAAGGAAGTCACACAATATTGACAGGTTAATGAATTTATTGAGGTTACAATATGTAGCTCACATGGAAAGACAAAAATACATACAGAATTCTGGTGGTAAAACTACTTGAAAAAGTGGGAATGATCAATGCAAACATAACATGATGGAACTCAACTTCAGTCATGGCTGTAGCATGAAATTATTTCCCTGTAAATCCAAATTACCACATGATGCAACAACCTAGAAGACTGCCACCTATACTCACACTGATCTGAAAATCTGAAATCCTGCAGTGAAGAACCAAATTATCCAATCTGGTCATCCTAACTTATTGTGAAATGTGTTTGAAACTGCAATATTACTTTCCAGTATGTTCAGCATGGTCCCTGGGCACTAAAGTATTCACATTTAACATTTATTAAATACATTGCTTACAACTTGTTTTATAATTTGCATATAATAATATAGACTTTCCAGTGAGAATGTGATTTGTCCATAATCCTACATGCATTGCTTCTCATTATAATGCATGTTTATAGAACATTGAATCTGACATACCATATTATAAACGCACATACATTCAGTTTTACATTAGAAATCATCATAGAAAGCATAGCTTGTCTTGTGTTATAGGTGTGGAAAATAACGTAGTAAAAGCATGTAAAATGAAATTAGTGTTGCAAAGGTGTGTAATTTGTATCAACATAAATTAAAATATAAGGAAATATTATGATTTGCATGATGAACTGTGATAAATAGATTGTTACTTGTCCATGAATTTACAGTGATATCACCTCAGAATGCACAGAAAATGTACCATAATTTAAATCTTTGCTGACATATCCCTATCTGTTCAGTTCTTATTTAGTTCCAACAAACTGTAGCACATGATCTTTAAATTGTAAAATCTTGATTAACAGTAAAGTGGGTATTATCTTTATGATTTATGTAGACTCATAGGTATGTAATTGTTGCTAACAATCACTCAGGCAGCTAATTAAGAAATTTCTTGACTTTTATACAACCCAAAGGTCCATCATCAAGTTCTCACGAGCTTGTTACTGGCCCCTGTTGTGAACTAAATTAATCCATTCCACATACATTTTCTGTTTTCTTGAAGATTCATTTGAATATAACCCTCCCATCTATGTCTTGTTCTTCCAAGTAGTTCAAAGTTTTATTGAAATTAAACTTCCAAGTAGTTTATTCCTTCAGGTCTTCTAATTAAAATCTGATAAGCATTGCCTACATCCCTTAACATACTACATGCCGTGCCTGTCTCATCTACCTTCATTTGATAGTCATAATAATATTTGGAAAAGTGAACAAAGTATGAAAAATTTCATTATTTAATTTTAACTTTGGTACCTGTGTGAAAGTAAATAGTTACATTCATACATCTTTTCAAAAATAAACTTCATCTGACTTTAAACTCAGAACTACTGAAATCAGTCATAAAATAAACATTGAGTGTACTAAAGGAAAATGTTGAATTTGGGAAATTTGTTGGATAGTGTGTTCTGCTCAGTACAAATGATGGTTAAAAGTATGCATTTCAGATTTCATTGCATGCATTTAGAGGATGAATTCAGCTATAAAATGGCTGAAAACTTAATCTCCCATCAGTTTCTGCAGATAACACTTTACTTATATGTATCCAGTAATCATTTCATAATATTAACACAGACCAAAAGCTGGGGCAGATTGATTAGAAGAAAATGTTTACTGAACAAAAATTTTTTTGTTTGGTCAGATCACTCTAAGACAATATAAATTCAAAAGAGGAAATATAAGAGAAGAGGGAATTATGTATCTGCAGAAGTCTTCTGCCAAAATAAACAAACTGTAAAGAATATAAATCCTCCTGCCAGCAAGTACTGCAGGAAAATTATGTGATATTTTCCAGAGTACAAAAGACTGGGAATAACATGAATTCTTTGAAAAATGTAGTTATTACACTTGTTTAAAATAAGAATAAAAATGTTTGTCAGTCATTATTTCAGATATTGGCATAAACATGTGAGTCATTTTAACTTTCAGTGAGTATCTGAAAGTTGAAGTAATGTGCAAATTCTCTTCTGTTGCTTATATCAGTACAATTGACATATTCATGCTAACTATATATCTTCGTGTTTTGTATGGATTTATGTCTTTTGTTTTTTCAAAGTTTATATATAGGTTTAATTTATGGACATTCTCAAAAATGAACTTGAAAATTTAATTTTGAAGTAGATCATATTTAACATTCCATCCCTGGTTATATTATTTTTAGTTTATTATATTTATGTTTTGTTTGTACTTATAATTAAAGTATAATATTTTTATGCATGGTTTGCTGGCACTGCAGGTGTTTAGCTTGTGTTGAATGTGTATGCCTGCATGTGAATTGTCTGCTTGCAGCCCGCTTCCACCAGTTGTAATATGAACATCACAAGTAGGCCATCAAGCCAACTCAGTCAGTATGGATCATCTGGCTATGGATCCACACGGAGTCATGTTGGTCCTCGTCTAAATAGCCAATCTCAATCTCTAGCCTTGTTGCCAAAAAACAAGTTTAGTACACTACAAACACGTACCAGTAAACGTGGCTCCAACATGGGGGAGCATTATCCTCAGTTCTATTCAATGAGGCTGCGAAAGAGAAACCAAACAGACAGGTCAATTTCACATCCGGATGGAAACTGTTACAGACCACAAATCTTCCAGCTCCATCAAATGCCAATTAAAGAGAATTCACCAGAATCAAAATTGAGTGTGCAGGAAGCAATATCTGGCAACAAAAATGAAGTTAATAACAACAGTAATATCAACCAGAGACTAGATAGCATAGTTCCTCCGGTCCCAGCTCCCAGAAAACATCACACCAATAAGTCGGCTAAGCACACTTATCAGAATGTGCCCATTCCAATCACACCTAATACTCAGGAGCCTAGTCCAGGACAGGTTAGTTGTAAATTTTTTGCTGTAGGATGTACTATTCTGTTTTGCTACCATCTGTGCTTGCTCTTGTCTGCTAGACATAACTTATTTGTAAAATTAGAAGTAACACATAATTTATGACATAAGTTTGAATGCAAAGGGAGATATATTTTTAAAATGCTTTACTACCCCATCTTTCATGTAAAAAGTTTCAGTGACAATAGTGACTACAGTTCAACACAAAGTTTAATGTGTCATAATCATGGTGTCTAATTTTTTTGTGATTTCAGTAGTATTGTATCTAATACCGTATTTTATACCTTTGCATTTATTTGTTCAAACAATTATGCAGTCCATTCAAATGAAACTAACTAGAGCTCTATATATATATATATATATATATCTTTCTTTTGGAGAAATGTATATAAATCCTGGACGTGAAAAATGTGTCTAAGATTATGACTGACTTGTACACACCAAAATTAAATTTACTTGACAACTTTTAGTGTACCTTCCTTGAACACCAGATTTCTTCCAGATAATTGAAATAGCTATGGAGATGTAAATGCAGACATATAAACAGGCATAACCTCTTCATTATTTATTTATTTTATGCACTTTATACAAAAAATGCAAAGAAGAAAATTAATCATGATGCTCATGCCCAAAGAACTTCAGGATCAAGAGAGCCAAAATAACAAAGACTAAATATATTGAAAAATATAATATATTAATTGTTTATGGCTATTCTAGGTGTCATATTTTAAGTTTATTCTACATCTAAGGCTATTTATTACTTTAATAATTAAGAAATCTGCTTTATTAATCTTTTATATGACAACACCATTTTCATGACATGATAAAATAACCTTGTAAAAAATATTCCCTTAATTTACAGTTGATAGCTCAATAACTTATAACGTCTTCACTGTAAATTAATAATGCATTTTGGTTCATATTGTACTTATAATGGGCATATTGACTGTTATAGCAATTTACATTTACATATTGGAACAAGGGGTGTATTGAAAAGAACGTTAGAATAGAACATACAAGAGCAAGTTCTGATGCATTTTCCTTTACCTATTAATAGAAACAGTTGTTCTAACATTGTGTTTTTAACTTTTCATTTACTAAGCTGGACTCTGGCATATATGTTGCAACCGTGCTTGTTTATGTGCCACGTGAGTTGCGTTATATTTACATTAAATATTTTATTCCCCATATTAGTCTGCACTTTGTATGTATAAATATGTAGTATACCAGTAGTTCTGTAGTTTGCAGTAGAGTTGGGTTTTCTAATCAATGTATGAAGCAGTTTCAGTTATATTTCAGCTGATTGATTTCACTAAAATATACAATTTCAGTGTTTACTTATTCATGACATAAGACTAAAGGTGACAACAGTGAGTGATGATCACTGCTGTATGTTATAAATAATATTTATGATTACTTATATACTGTAGATACCCAACACACAAATAAACATCAAAATTTCTGTACTGCACACACTGCTTTCATTGCAGGTATAATGAAATTAGTACAAGAAGAGTGTAACAAACAAAAAAAAAGGGCACAATTTTGTTTCCATTGGTAATGAAGATTAAAGGGCAGTTAACACTTAGTATCTCCATTGTTACTGAAAATTAGCGTATTTTCCTGCTATGCAAATATAACTTACGTTGAATTTATAACTGTATTCAAGATCTAAAAGAGTCAGCTGATAAATTAGGTTATGGAGAAAAATGCAGATATGTAGTAGTCACTGAATTAATAATAAATAGAGCATAATTTACAAGTCCTACTTTGTACTTGAAAATCCAAACAGTTACTATTGAAATGATCAATTACTTTATTAACCTTTATTGACTGTACATCATGCCTTATGCACAGTCCAGCTGATTGTGTCACATTTACCTACTGTTAAGTTATTAACAATGGAATTAAAATCTGGTCAGCAAACCCAGTCTTCAGGGATTTAAATCATCTATTCCTGTATGATAAAAGTTAAGATGGATGTAAAATCCTTTCCTTATCTAGTTTTTCTGAAACATTTTTTCCATCACTTAATGGAACACCAAAAGTTTAAGTACAAAGACTGTACTGCTCCTTTTATCTTATTTTTCATAGTGGTGTGTGTTCAAGGAATCAAAAATTTTAGATAGTGGTAGCACTCCTGCTTCTTGTTCAGGAGGTCCTACTTTCAGTTCTCAGTCCAAAGACCAGCTGTCTTGACAGATTTATTTGTGGATTTCCTCAGTCCCTACAGGAAAATGTCAGAATAATACCTTAAATTAGGCCATGACTGCTTCTTTCCATATCCTCTCCAAATTCATTATTTGTTTATCATCGTCTCATCCAGCACTACACAGTCTGAGCTGACAGCATTGTAAAGTAAATCACAAATAAAAATATAACATTTGTTCTTACTAAGTAAGATATGAAGATGGTTGTTTTCAGACTCACCACTGTAAAAACCTCAAATCCTACTACGTAAGATACAGTTTATCTAAAGTTGTATGATTTCTTGATTTCCATTTGAGTGCTCATTATATTAAAATATAATTATTAATAATAACTAATATGAAATAGGCATATTCATTTCTAAGAAAAAATAATGCAGTTTATTACACTCCTACCTTGAAACAGATAATTGGATGTAGTAACAGATGTTTTCTGCATTTAAGTTATGACCACCATGCTTGTGACAAAGATTTTGGGAAGTTTTTTCATAAATTATTCAATTTCAAATTTAAAAATTGTGTGAATGATATTTACAATTGCATTGTATAATGTAACTTTGGTTTTTTAATAATACTTTACTTCATAACATTCTGAAAAGTAGAATGTTATGGAAGTTTCAGCAAGCTTATTAAAATTGTTTCATTGGATTTTTTTATTTACATGTATTTTTATGTATTTAGTATTAAAATTGTTTCATTGGATTTTTTTTATTTACATGGATTTTTATGTATTTACTTTTAGCATCTTTAAACTGATGCTTAAGGAACTACACATTCATAGATATATAGTGCAGTAGGGATAATATGTAGCAAGATAAACGTGTTTCTTCATTGATAAATCATAGTAAACCTTCTGTCTGTGCTTGTTTCCCAAACTACTTTTGCTAATTAATTAGGCCTAAATGTATACATGTATGAATGCTGCAGTAACACCTACTAACATGCATGGCTTGGTAACTTCTCTGCAGAGCCGACAGCAGCATCAACACCACCACCATCACCACCACCATCATTACAATCTAACATCATCACAACATCATCTACTACTGACACCTCCCAACACCAAAACTACCAGCCTGAACCTCCAGCAAACATCGATTGCACTGGGGGGGAAACAACAGTCCCAGCCATTGTGTGGGAACACAAGGCAAAACAGCAACACCAATAGCAGCAACAGCAGCAGCAGCATCAACAATAGGACATATCTCCCACCCATGCGTTTGGAATATCAGCAGCCTTATTACGTCGCAGAACCCTATGTTACGGATAGCATAGTGTATGCAGACTTAGCCCTGGCAGCAAATGGCATGCGTGAACCCCATCTCCTTCCTCATTATAGACCACCACAAAACTCCACAGAATATGCCATTTTGAAGTTTCATGACGTTGGACAGGAGATTGATGTGTGAGAAGGTTGGTACAGGCATTGGTATCCATTTCAGTTGAGTGTACTATTGAACATACAACATGGATAAGATTGATACTAGGTTTCTCACATATTTATTTTGATAGGATTACTGCCTATAAAGGGGGTTGTGGTTTTTGGTTCTCACAAATATCCTTGTTCCTCACACGTCCATTACACAATATTCTGGGCACTCCACTATTTCACTGTGTGGTGGATAGTAAAGCCGAACACATATATAGTGTAGTTTTAGCTTCGTATCAAATTTATGTATAAACTGGGTTTGACCTTGACCTTTTGAATTTACATCTATTGAAACCACAGCTCTAAACAAATTTCAATTATTTTTTATTACTGATACTAGATCCAGACCCTTATTTATTTTTAATGATAGTTCACAAGCCAATAATAGAACAAAGGCTAGCAACTTCTATGGAGTTAAACAGATGGTAGAAGAATATACTTGAGAAGTAACTTTGGGATATTAATAAGAGAGATCTCTTTAATATTATCTCAGACTTAGGTGAGGGAAAATTACATCATTGTGGATGTTTAGTTATATATTAAAGAAAAGTTTGCAGTAACATGATACTAAATGGGAAGAATCCAGAGGATGACAGGCAAACCACCCTGTCAGAAACATTTGTGCCATAAACAAATTCTGCATGATTTTGCTCCCATAAGCATATACAGTTATTTTGAAATATTTTCTTGCTTTTCTAATTTCTTAACTCCATTGCTTGTTTTGTGGCAATTAGTTGCACATATTTGTATGACTGAGATAACCACACATCCATGTCAGAAGTACTGATGTGTCAAGTGGTTTCTTGCTAAATAAAAATTCTAACATTTATTCATATTGGTAGAGGTGGGAGGGGGACTGGGGAAGATATTTTTAAGCTTTTAAAAGTGTACTCCAGAGTGGAATATGCATATTTCCAAATACTCTTTTGTGATTCTACATCCACATTGGTGTTTAATTATTACTGATGAAAGATCTTGTAATGGAACAGTAGTAAATTATTTCTTCTTCATATAATTACATGTGTGAATTCTAAAATGCTTCATGATGCTGTCACTAGCAACAGCTTACACTTTAATGCAACTGTTATGATCGATGTTATCATATATAGTGATATTTTTATGTGTTTCATAAATAAATTACAAGTATTTCTTCCCCTGGGTTGATGTTTACTGTTATGGGAGGAGAGAATCTTACTACAGCTCTTCCTTTCAGTTTCTTTAATTTATTCTGTTATTGGTACCATGTGTATGTAAATCTGTTGTTTTTAATTTTATATGTAGTTTAAATTGGTATAACCTGCTGCCTGTGTCATGAAATGCATTTTGGCTGATAATAACAACTCATCAGTGTCCCTTATGACTCATGCTTCCTTTACTGCCTCACAGGAGCTTCATAAATTTTATGTATGATATCCCAGATTTTAAAATAACTTGTGTGTCTATATTTATATTCCTGCCAATTATTAAAATTCCATACTGGATCACTTTACCTTTTTTGTGTGATTTCATAACTTTTATTTATGATTTTTACATAATGTATGTATCAGTATTTGTCCCGCGCCGTAGCTGCACAGTCTGAGGCATCATGCTTCGGACCGGTGATACAGAATTCATGCTGGTTCGAGTCTCGGAAAGAAATTTCTCATGAGATTTTCGGCTGGTGTATGGGACCAGTGCCAACCCAGCATCGTGAGGAAATTGGGTAGCGTAATCCGGTCATGAAAACTAGCAATGGCTGGGGGTTCGTCATGCTGACCACATGTCACTCTATATCTGGTTGGATGATCATTCACCTCTGCTTAGGCATGTGAACGTGAGGCCAGCAGTCAAGCTAGTCGGCTTTGGCTCTCAGGGCTGTTACGTCATGGATTATTATTATGTATCAGTATTTATACTCACCAATAGGTAAATTTCTTTTTTGGGACTGTCATCATTTTTGTGTAATTTTCATTGAGTTCATCAAATGTAACTGAAAGAAAAAGGACTTTTGTCTCACCTTTAGTAAGTTATTTCCATATGGAAATTTTGAATTCCTCTTTTACAGATAATCAGATTAGTTTGTACTCATCATATATTTAATTCATTACATCCATTATTTTCTTTAATGGTTTTAGTTAATTTGTTATTATTAATTTTATTAAAAAAATTTCTTTGCAGTTAGTTAAGACGGAATGAATTTCAGTGTTTAATTATCATCTTTTCTAACAATTAGTTGGAAAGAATGTTGACTCAGCAAGTTCTTTTCCAGTATTATTCATTATGTTCTCTGACTTTGTCATTGTATTGTTTGATTACAGTAAGTTTAATAATCCAGCATTTAGTAAAGTATTTTGTCTTTACATTTCATATCTTCTTGTTTCCCAGTTTTAGATACCAATACCCTCATGCATATTTCTATGTAAATTTGTACACTGTACAGACAGCCCATGATAGCTGTTATATTACTTTCATCTTGGCTGGCATTCTGTTGTAATGGTTGCAAAATAAGTAGTCTTCTTGTTAATTGTGGTCTTCTGTGTTGTGATACTGTGCAATTTTGTAGGTGGTTACCAACATTTTTGAGGAACATGTTGCCTCCAGAAGACCACAGTCCATATTTTCACCACAGTGAAAACCTCAGACCTCATACAAGTTATTTTCTTCTTTAGCTTATGCATAAATATTTATAGTGCATGTGTGTGTGTGTGTGTGTGAGTTTGTGTGTGCGCACGTGCTTATGCATGTGCATGTATCCTTATGCATACATGTCATCTTAAAAGAAGTAACAATAGATCGGAAAAGTAAATGGTAGCATCTGATATAATAACTACTACCAGTGGAACTAATAACCTTTGAGCATGCCTTGCCTGTAAAGCATAAAATAAATAACAACAATAAAACTTCATTTGCATGTAGTTACAAAGGAGCAGTACTAAAATCTAACATTATCTTATTCTTTTTCGTCTAATTCTCTTCCTGTTTTAAATAACACTTGCATTGGAAGTAGGCATAGATAACAGCAAATTATTTCAGTTTCTTTGTTCTAAATAATCGTGTTTGCAACATACTTATGGATCCATGGAGTGTATAATGTATGTATGTAGTCTTTCAGATTACGTTACTAATCATATTTTAATTATAATGTATGAAATATTCCTACAATGGAACCAGTAAGTTTCAACATATTGTCCTACTGCAAATGTAAATTTACTGCAACAGAATCAGCTACAGTTTACATCAAAACCTTTTTCTTGTTCAGTTCACACAGCCCATCTTACAGGATTTAGTTGCAATAAAATGTAAACTGTTACATGCAAATATGTGTATCATGTCTGGATAAAAATTTAGATAGAATATTTATTTAAAACAATGTTATTACAGGTCAGATCTCTAAAATTACAGAGCTAAATTTATTTCTACCCATGAGAAATTTGGAGTCACATAAATCAGTATTGCATCCTTACAGCATTGTGGGCAAGCCACTTTATTATAAATACTTGTGTCATTTATATACTGTATCAAGTAATAATGCAGTTTTCTGTGTAGCCGTAAGTTTATTAAATGAAACCAAAGACAGACAAGAAAAAATACTGAAGGTTCTTTTAGTGCTTGTGCCTCCGTTCAGTGTCTCTTAGTCCCTACTATCTTTAATTTCTGCAGTTCCAGATGTTTGGTATACATGAATATCTGAGCAGCATCCATCTGTATGGGACATCTGAATTCATATCCAAATCACTTACATAAACATACTTGAATAAGTTAGAACTTGCAAAATTAATAGTCTTTTTGCTTGGAACTAAATTGTGCAATGTTTTAATGCCCCAGCATGCAGAAGTAGGCACCATGTAAATAGTATAAAATATGATAGTTCAACCTGCCTATTGCATAAAAACAAATTTGGAATTTAGTTTCATCTTGTTGTTTATACAAAGTTTGACAGTGAAGGCATACCCATACCTAATACCTTTTTTTCCACCTAATGTTGATAATGTTTGTGTGATACATTGAGGTGCTCAAAAGATGTACAGAACTCTTAGAATTATTTCTTAAAAAGCTTTTGTTGTGACATATATTACCACAAATTAACATGTCTATTTTCTCAACAGGAACGTCCCAAAGCCAGCGTTACATACATTTATTAGAAGAAGCAAACTGGCATAGAAAGAAGTTGTAGGTATAACTTCCTGTACTCTACCTTGGTTGATTAGGTTGAAACTGTTTTATGATAATTAACATTAAATGAGGCAGCAGTGTTTTATCCTTGTACATGCCTTTTGAGCACCTATATGATATCAGTCATGTAATGGCACTCCTAGCTACTGTCTTGTATACGCATGAATACTTGCTTCTTTGTTCCATTGATATCATATTACTGGAGAGTAAAGTAATTGTTTTGAAGAAATTTTGAGCAGATAATTGTTGTGTGGTGTGAAGTGTTTTTGTTATTGCATGTTAATTGTTCAGTATTATTATTTACTGCAATCACTGCACAAGTAAATGAAGCAGATGTGCACTTGGATATACTGTGAGAATTAATGTCTGGATTTAATGGCCATGATGCTATTTAATGTTTGTGACTCAGAACTTAAGTTTTCCCAACTTCAGTGCCTGACTCACATTGTGGAGTACTAATATGCAGTGCCCAAGTTTCAAATTAAAGTAAAATATTATCATATAACTACAAACTGTAAGTATATAGTTATCATATTAGCAGTATAATTGTGTAGTGTTTGTGAAACACACATTCCCTTCAAATTAATGATTAAAACATTAATTTTATGCAGCTAACAGTGCTCTTCTTCAATTTAACTGCATGCAATTCTTCAAACATTAGATTTCAGTACAGAACTTTTAGAAACTTCACAACTAAAATTGAACATAAAATATGATTTATATACACATTCCAAGGAGTGAAACAGGTTTGTTCACACATTTCAGAGGATATTTTCTTATTGGATAACTTATCTCTTACAGCCATTCCGACCGGAATTCTCTGACCTGGACTACGCTGATGTGGATTATCGCTCATATGGGCCAATTAACTACAAGATGGCCTCCATACAGGCAATAGAGCAGGAGAAGAAGAAGAATATTAAAAATGAAAACCAACAGAAGCCATTGCACTCTTCCAACAACCACCTACCAGACTTGCTCTAGGCCTTGCATTTATTTCTTTTCATTGATATCATAGCCATTAAAATGGAAGTGGTAAATGATTTAAAAGTGCAATGGTCTTCCACCCAGCTTGCTTCAAGCCAGAAATAGCATGAGAAAGGGCAATGAAAATACTGTTATGATTCTTTTGTATGTATGTACATGCTTAATTAGGGTAAAAAAAGAAAACAATGAAAAAAAGGAGTTAACTTGATACCACTAACCTGTGAGATTAACCAAAGAACGTGCTAGTGTGATTCTTTCCTTGCTTTAAGCTACTCCCATTTCTGTGTCTGTCAGTTATACTAACGGCTGCTGAGACTACCGGTGGTGTTTCAAGTCAAGCGACTGCTGCAACTACTGACTCATGTGTGATGAGAATAATAACCAAAGAAACAATTTGATACGTTGACTCTGAGTATATAAACACTAAAAATGATGTGGATATGTAAAAAGAACTTCACCCAAAATATTTAGGTTGTGTTTTAATAAAGAAATTAGTTTTTTTAATAATAATATATATATACATATATATATATATAAATAAACAACCTACTACAAATAAGGGGAACTTGGAAATGTTCCTCTTGTCATCAAACATTTGTTAGTGTGTGTTAGAGTGTATGTGTATGTGTGTGCAGACAAGGCAAGCAAAGGCATGTCTGATGTATAGTGATATGGCTTCCACCAGTGTTGCAGCACAAATGTCAGTTTCGAATGGAAGTCAACTAATACAGTTAGTTTCTGTGGCTAGGTACCCATTAAGTGTATATTTTCAGAATGTGATAACCATCTGTGGAGAGTCCAACTTTTCTAATTAATCAAAAACTGAATGTGTGGGAATTTTAAAATGTCCATGAAATGTGCCTGGATTTGCTACCAGGTTTCTTAAACATTCATATATAATGACTGCCTGGCAGAACAGTATTTATTAATGTGACTCTTCCTTTATAACAAGTTGGCATAATTTTTTAATCTTGTACTTAAAAATGTTTTTAATCTTTCGTTTTCTGTTAACAGTCATTTAAGAAGGTACCTCATCCTACCTAAAATGGTTCATGTATGCATATTTCTGACACCATACATGTTGTGTTGGATTTGTTAGACCTCATTGATGTTTTTCCAATATATTGGTACATAAAATGCACAATTTTTTTGTTATACGTATTTTATTATCAGTACTATATAAAATTTCAATTGCTTCAGGAAGTTGAATTATACAATTGTTTTAAAAGAATTAATGTAATTTGACATAATCTTATTACTATTGAGCTGCTATGATTAATTCTTTAAATTTACTTACTAATTTAACATTACAAGGAGAGCATGAAACTAAATGTAATGGATCTGTCAGTACTTAGAAAATACTGTTTGAAATTAGTTATCTGGGTTCATCTATAAATTCTCAATAAGGTAGGGCGAGAACACTTCTCTGAAATCACAGTAACTGCCAATATTTTGGATATAGTACTGTGTTTTAAATACTTCCTTTAAAGTGATTTTGTTCTTAGATCTACACAAGATATAAGTTCCATCCAGTTAGCCCATAGTTGGCATAAAGAAAAATTAAGTCAACAAAGTTGCTTTACTCAACTCTCCTTAACAACTACGCAAATAAAATTCAGACTGGTGGGTAAATCTGCCATGTACAGTTGCTATTGTAATACCTGATAGAATTGACAGTTGATAGCACAGTTGTTCCCATCTGACATCTTTGTCCATTCTTTTCTGTAACGTAACCAGAGATGTAGCCAGTATCTACAATGTATTATTGCTCAATCACAGCTGATGAAGATATACATATATGGAATAACTGCAATAATATTCAAGTCCAAAGATAGAAATGAGCTGAAGTGCATGTATTATAAGTGGTTGTGTGTGAGAGTGAAGAATTCAAAGAAAATTTATTATATTTTATGTATTCATTAGTGTTTGCTGTCTAATTTTATTACATTATATTATATTTATAAAAATTAATGAATGATATCTGCAATTTGAGTCCCATATTGGAGCTACATTTTGTATAAAGAAACTGACTGCATCACTGCCAACTGTCTTGTTCTCTTTTGTTTTAATTTAAAAAATAACAGTTCATTCTTGTAGGACACATGAAAATGGCTTTATATTTCTTTGAAATTATTCAGCTTTGAAATTTTTCTTAGCTCATACTAAAACATTTTTCATCAGCATTCTTGTTTAATTTCTCTAGATTTATTAGCAGTTTTTCAGTCTTTTCAAAGTAAAAGCAGTACAACATTGCCATTGAAAGTATTTATTCTTTAATTTGTATGTGCTTCCGCAGCATGAATTAAAGACATTTCCTTTTAAAGTTCTCTTCTTATCTAAATTACGTGGTTTCACATTGGCCCATCAATCTTCAATATGTAATTGCAGAGGAAGGAAGAGGAATTGAAAACAACAAAGAAATAGAAGCTTGGTAATGAAATTTGGTTATATAACTGCAATATTGTATGCATTTGTTGGCATTAGGTAAAGAAAGATTATTTACTTGACTTCATGGTAAATATCTCTATCATATTTCTTTCAGGTACACTGTATTATAAAAACAGTGAATGCATACAATTATAAAGGTTTATACCTTGAGCCTTTGTTTGTACTTTACATTGTTATACATACAACATATACCTACATCCCTGCTATATGTCAAATTTAATGTGTGGTATACTGAAAGCATTCATAAACCTGTTGTAATTTGTGGATTTTTAATAGAATATTATGACTGGGTAAAGTTGTGTCCAGTACAATACAGAATTCCATATTTGTGGTGTCCAGGATATTCTTTGACAGAGAACCATCTGATCCCATGGGCACAGAGGAATAAGGAAATTATATATGAAAATTTATTTTCGTGTGTTAGAGAGGATGTCAGAGTGACTTAACAAGAGCTGTGAATTCAGAAAAAAACATTTTTTAAGCATTACTGAGCCATATACTGGCAGTTTCTGTATTTAACCCACAGCTGGATCATATTTCCCATGTATTTACTTAAGTAATAGGCAGGTATGTACTTAAGAATAAATTTAGTGACTTTATAAATACATAAAAAGAAGCACCAACAAGAGTAACACAAGAACTTTTCAAGTGATAATCATGATCTTCCCTTTCCCATATTTAATTACTTTAAGGAAATGGCTTTCTTGTACCATACTGATAAACAAGCAGGTCACCAGAAGTTTATCTGTGTTTAGGATAGACAGGAATGTAGGCATATTTATAGAAATAACCTTGTTTGCCCAACCCCCTCCTTCTACTTTCAGTGTTAACATTTCTTAAAACTGATATTGTTGGTAGCTGACTTTGTTATGAATGCAATGAAAGGAAGTGGACTACACTCCTCCTTCATGTGGTATTTGTCACTGATCAGGGTAAGTCTGCTTCTCATTCTTTACAATAGTTTTTCAGTAGTTGCCTTGAACCTTGATGTTTATTATGGAGATCAAACCAAGGAACAAGAAAGGCAGGCCATGTAACATGTATGGGAGAGGTAAGAAACACACATAATCTGGTGGGATGAGACATCTTGTGAGACCTAACTATAGATAGGAGTTTCAAATACATCTTAAAAATCCACTTTATATTAACACCAAAATTGGGACGTTTCCACTTACTGAATATTATTTAATGCTGTCAGCACCAAAAAAACCTACTTGATCACACAACTCTTTATAATTTGGGCTTTGTACTCCAGAATTTTATTAAACTCTGCTTCTAACTGTCCAGCAATAAATATCCTTCATTCACCTTCATAGGCATTTAGCATCGCTGTAGCACTAAAAGTATCTTTTGACATATACGTATAAGTTGCATTACCCCAGTTTTCTTGTGACAGTTTCATATTTCTGCAATTAGCATAAAACACTAGGGTTTAATAGATACATAAATGAAAGTCTATATCTGCAAACATTGCCATTTATACTGCTTGGCAAAACAGTGCCTTAAAAGGACTGAAAACAGTAACATTTATCTAATTTACAGTTTAACACAAGCACATGCAACTTATGTAAAATATGTACATGGTAGAGTCTGACAGAAGACTGTGAATACAGTGTATGCATGTATTGTCTTCCTTTAGAATAGCAGTTTAAAAATACAAGTGTGTTCATTTATTATTTAATGGTGATTATGAAACTCATTAATACAGGTGGCAGGATAAAGATTTTCTTTAATATGTTAACAGTGAAATATGTTGTTCCAAAGAAGAATTTATGGATTCCTCATGGAATCTTCCAGTCATCACCATCAAAACCAGCTATGATGAATGTTTTATGTGGACTTGGATGACCTCTACATTTTGGCAACTTTATAGTGTAAGTGGTCTGTAAGGGTGGGGTGTTAAGTGACTAATGGTTTGTGGTGTGACTATAATCAATAATAATAGTAAGAAGTGCACATTAAGAAGGGAGATCATCGCTTTAATTATGGAGGCAGTAAACACCTTTGAAACGTCAGTCCTTTTCTGTAAGTTCACACAGTGCTACAAATCACCAAATTCAAATTATAGCACCTACTCAAATTGGGGCATCGTAAAACACGGAATGCCTCAAGGTTCAATACTTGGTCCTCTGCTTTTCCTCATATATATCAATGATCTGCTCCAAACCATCAACTCTCATTCTAAACCTGTACTCTTTGCCAATGAAATTGACAGGACAAATTTCATTAAATTTTGTACTAACAACAGAACTTGTGTAAATCTAAATATAGGGTATTTTGATAAAATAATCGAGGAAATAGAAATAACTAAATTTCTTGGCCTACAAATTGATAACAAATTAAACTGGAAAACACATATTCAATACATTATCCCTAAACTAAGCTCAGCATGTTTTTCTATGAGGACAGTTGCAGCACACAAATTAGTTTATTTTGCATACTTCCATTCCATCATGTCATATGGAATAATTTTGGGGGAAAATTCAACAGAGAGCAAAAAAGTATTTTACATTTAAAAGAGGATCATTAGGGCAATGGCAGGCACTAAACGGAGAGCCTCTTGTAGGGAATTATTTAAGAAGTTTAATATTCTTCAACTACCCAGTGAATTCTTGCTCCCACTATTATCTTTTTTAGTGGATAACATGGAAAATTTTCAAATACAGATATCCACAATATAAGAACAAAATACTGATACAACCTTCATGTGCCAAATTCTAACCTCAGTAAATATCAAAATGTAGTTAACTATACTGGAATTTAGTTATTCAATAATCAAAAGTTTAAACCACGATATAGAAATGTTTAAGCTAGCGTTAAAAGAGTATCTTCTATCTCACTCCTTCTACTCAGTATAATAATTTACAAATACATGTAACAATGGTGATGGTTTCTCATTATAATTATTTTTCTGTAATACTGTAGTTCCAAAAACTTGTAAATAGCTGTTATAACTATGCATTTGTACTAGAAACAATTGTTGTATTTGACCTGTTCTACATCCTTAGCTTAGCTCTATGAAATGTAAATAAATTCTATTCTATTCTATTCTACCCAGTAAACATAATTGCAGCCTCGAGAACCTGAAATCTCACCAAGTTCGCACGAGTGTCCGTGATTTGGGTCATACCAGGGCTCTGTACAGTACAATGAATCATACGTATCACGGATTGCGTGCATACAACATTAACATCATGGAAAGGGAGCGGACCAGTATTCTCAACGCGTTTTAACAACCATGGATCTTAACGATATACCCAACAAACGAGCCCTCTGGGTTCCAGAATACGGCAAGGAAAATCTAACCCTTAGGATCCAATAGGCGGAGAATCCAAATTCTGTATGACGTTGTTGACGCCCGTGAGCATCTTTCGATATTTCAGGAGAAGCCTGTAGTTGGACCAAAGCGAAGGCAGCTAAAAGTATGCTGTGGAGTGTGAAGTGTGATGTGAATAGGCCTGTAAGAAATTCTCTGTTTAAGTTGGCGTAGTGCATGTCATATCTCTCGGCAAGAGTACTTTTGTATCTGTACATCGCAGTCCGCGCTCATTGTCGGTGTTGACAAGTAAGTTTGTTCTAAAAAGTACTAAAAGCTTATATTTACATCAAGCAGGGAGATAAGATGCTGTTTCATTTTTAAAAGTTGCATTACCTTGGTCTTATTATTCCAATCACTGAAACTGAGATGAAAAGTGTAATACAGACGCTCAAATCAAAAAAATTATCAGGTTATGATGACAAGTAACATTTTGAAAGCTTGTTCATCTTTAATTATTCGTCCATTAACCCACATTTGTAATCTCTCATTATAAACAGGTATTTTCCGAGACCGCCTTAAAATATCAGTAGTAAGACTGCTGTACAAGAAAGGTGACAAAACTACTGAAGGTGCAGCATTCAAACTAACAGACAATCCGCTAAAATTTATTAACCAAAAAATGCATGTTGGAGGAATTTTCTGTGATTTAGCAAAAGCTTTTGACTGTGTAAATCATGACATTTTGTTGGATAAATTACATTTTTATGGCATTCAAGGAATAGTAGCACACAGTGTGAACACAAGGAATAAAAATCAACTTCATAGACCAGTTGCCAACCTCTCATGCTTTCAGAAGAGTGCATATTAATGCAGGGATAAAAATTTTCAAGTCTACCGTCAAGTCTGACAGATCTTGTAAATAAAAAGGAGCAATTTAATGTAGCATTAAAAAGATACTTAATTACACACCCCTTTTACTCTGTCGATGAATTTCTATTGTTTACAAATAAGTGATAATTTATCTTGTGTGTAATGGGTAGATTTATTTGTAACTTATTACTTTAGGTGAACCCTTTGTTGTATTATTAATTAAATTATATAATAGTATGAATTGTACTTTATAATATGTATTGTATTATTATGCTTACTTTTCCACATCCTATTGTCATCTGACTATCTTATGGATCCATGGAATGTAATAAAGATGTATGTATAATTCATTTTGGGGAGCAAGAGGTGCCCCTGCTTGTTTAGCTAATAAGTCATTAACTTGTATTCCAGAGGTATATACATACACAAAATAGATCGCTGCTAGAAAGAAACTGAACATTGTGTTTGAGTGGTTAGTACTCCTTCATATTTCAAAAGTCCTGAGTTCGAATCTCAGCCAGAAGCTGGTTGTCCTGACTAAGGTTTTGTGTGGTTTTTCTCAGCCCCTCCTGGCAAATGCTGGGATAGTAGCTTAAATTAAGCCATGCTCACTTCCTTCTATATCCTTTCCAATTTATAATTCACTATCATCCTGTCATTCAATACTATGCAATCTGAGCTACTGAAAGCGTAAACTACCAGAAAGGTGCACTGAGCTTGAAATCTCAGTGACAATATGCTTGTTTTGCGTTTGACAGATACCTAGTTAAAATCTCGGCTAGTTTCAGCTATTCTGTCTGAGTTTATTTCATGTTGTTTTTTTTCCTCAGACTATCCAAATTATGGATAATATCTTAACAAAGAAAGGTTTTATCCCTTTTTATTTCCTTTCATCTCTGTTACTTTATTCATCAGTCTGTTTCCACATTGGCTGCATTAGGCTTAAAACCCATTTGGCTGTCCTGTTACCTAATCTAGCCATAACCATCTGATTTCTGTAAGATTTACATTATTGATTAAAGGGAATATCACCTAACATTAATAGTCTTTAGTCTTGGTATTGTAGTTTTAATGTGCATTGCTCATGTAGATTCTTGATCTGAAATTACATATTCATTTTGATATACATATTAGATAAGTATTTTATAATATCTAATTTTGTAGTTGCACTCACTAGCTAGTGAAAAAATTAAGATACCCTCAAAATAATGTTTCATGAACCATATGTGCTGTTGAGTAAGGTTAGCTGCCATCTGCCCTATGGTTGAAATGGTATTTCAGTTGGCTTGAGTCCAAACTCTAGCAGTCTGTCCAAGAACTGTTGCCAAGAATTCCTTAGCTTCTCAGAACCAAATTCAAGATCCAGGAGGCAGAACAGGGACTAAGAAAGAATTAGATAATCTATGAAGACTCATGTATAAGAATATCCTACATCTGTCATGGTGTCAGAAGTAATTGCGTGTCTGATAGTCTGTGCTATTATTGAAATAGTAACATAAATATTTTCGTCATTTCATTGTAGGATGTATATGGATATAGTGAAAAAGTGAAGTAATCTAAATGCCGTTTGAATTCTGAGAAGAAAGAAATGGCTTTGGATGGAACGCCATTTTTGGTTCAAGCTGTTTATTCATTCAAAGGCAAGAACAATGATGAGGTAATCGTGCATATTTGTTTCTTGCAACTGGGATTTTGTAATACATTTTTTCTAACAAAGTGCTCTAGCGTGACTTATCATTATACATTTATTATTTTTATATTTTAAATATTTATGTTAATCAGAAACATTAACAATATTCATTGTATGTTACAAGTTAGTCTTAGTATAAAGCAGCAAGTAGAGAAGATATCTCAATGCAACATCTTACAGCTTACCTTTAAAAATATGTGTATGACTTCAGACATTTTTGCTGCTTTATATTTTTAACATTGTAGAATTATTGCAGGATTTTCTATGACTTCAGGAATATGTTCTTACATAATCACTTGTATATTATATTATTTGATATGAAAGTTATACCATTTTGTGTTGAGTATGCAGGTAAGTATGTCACTTGAAAGTTGTTTTAAAATGACAGCTGTCTGGGATGTTTTGCAGTGTAGTCCCATAGAAGTTGATACTGACCCCATCATTGGGGCAGTGACTCTGTGCGCATTGGACATTACTCATTTCTGAAACATCAGTCAGCTTTTATGAGACTACATGACATGATATCCCAGAAGGCTTACTCTACATACTCAGTCATGAGAACGTAAAATCTTACAAATTTTGTTTTAATCAGTATACCTATAACAGAACATAAACTTAGCTTAGATTTATTTATGGAAACTGAATTTTTATTTTTAAAAAGCTGCATGGTCTGACAGGAAACTAGCCGGACTAATTTTTCAAGAAAAGTCATGTGACAGTGGTCAGCTGCAAGTACATGCACACAGTCCAACATCTGTCATCCTTGAAAAAATTGCTGAAAATCATTTTTTGGAAGTATTTAAAGTCCCAAATTTTTGTTGTTCTTCATGCCTGAAAGTTATTCAGAATGAAACTTTTTAAAGGGATTTATTTTTGTTCTGGGAACATGAAAAGTCACACTCAGCCAATTCAGGTGGTTTGGTTGGTGTCCAAGCACTGGTATTTTTTGGCCAAATCTCACGTTACCAAATATGTTCTGTGCAAAGACATTGTCATTCTGCAAAATCCAGCCAAGTTTCAATCATTGTCAATGAATGCATTACTGTAAATAAAGTCAGCCATGCCAATTGGTTAAAAATCAACATTTCAGGGACTAGCTCCATCCCCATCATTAGAATTTGATGTGGGTGGAGTCAAATGCTTTGTTAACGTGCCTAGACAAACTAGTCCAGAAGCAAAATAAAATATTGTGATTTATTTATGATGGTCCAAGCTTGCATGATACATTTCTTCCAGAGGTTAAATATATCATTGTTTCTGTGTCATTGGCCAGATAAGTTTCAAGATGTCTACATAGATAATCTGTTTGAAGTTATGTAATCTACTGACAGTTGCATATTTTATAGTTTTACCAGTGTTTTTAGTACTGCTGTCATCGGTGTGACATACAGGTATCAAATCTGTAGTGTGAATTCAGTGTATTTATTACAGAGCCCTTAAACATTATCAGTAACACTTAGAATAGCATGTCACCATTCTGACCCCAAAATTAAAACAGTCAGATTACACACCCTGAACTTTGTTCTTGAAATCATTGATCATAGGTTTTAAAATGTTGTAGGAAATGTTTTGTTTTGTTAAGTAACTGATATAGATCATCTGGAAGAAAGATTCTATTGTATACCATGTTTGCAGCTGTGCTTCAAGAAGGGTGACATAATCACTATAACTCAAAGAGAGGAAGGCGGTTGGTGGGAGGGAACACTTGGAGACAAAACTGGATGGTTCCCCTCCAACTATGTAAAGGAGTATAAGATTCAAGGTAGACAATTACATCACAAGATGCACTTTTTTAAGATTATTTGACATTGAATTCCATCATGTATTTTATGGAGTGGTTTTTCAGTTTTCTGTTCTGTTGTTTTATTGCAGCTATTAATATTAAGATGAAATTAAATAAATTACTGTACAACATATAAAAATTACAGAGTGAAATGCTTTTCTTGTCAGTTGTGGTCTTCTGGGTTGTGACACCATGTGGTCTTGTGGATGGTTTTCTTAATCTTCATTGTTGAAAGATGGCTGTGATATTGTGAAATCTTGCAGGTGAAGATGGAGGCAATGCATATTGGTAACCAGCTACAAGGCCACATGGCATTGCAGCTCAGAAAACATAGTCCAACATCTTCACTGCTGTCAGAACCTTGTATCTCATATATTGTCTGTATTTCCATATGCTGAAGGTGTGGTGGTTGTAGTCCCTGCAAGACATTAAGCATCTTTGTTATGTGTGGTCATATAAATCATGATTTTATTTCATTGTGGTAAAAAATATTTCTGTTAAATTAGCTGAAATTTTTTTACCCGGTTGTGTTTATCTCATTATTGAAACCACCTTTTGTGACTTATGTTCTGTTATAAGTTGTAATTTGTTGGCTAATAAATTCAGATGACAGATTTGAATTATTAGTGTAATAGTGTATAAGCATTCACTTAAAGAGTAATTTTCCTGTTTCGTCTCTAGATTTTCCAGCAGACTCTTCATAATATTTCTGACAGTGTTGATTGTTGTAGTTTTTTTCTGTCTGTCTTAGAAGTAAGTTCCTTGGCTGGTAAGACCTCCTCACCTACAAAGTTACCTCCAGAGCTTGTAGCTCAGCAGAAGGCATACCGAAATTTGGTCCTGAAAGATCTGATAGATTCTGAGAAAGCTCATGTTGCTGAACTTCTAGGATTACTGAAGAATTTTCTACATCCATTGGAGAAATCAGAAATGTAAGTCCTATTTTTATATATTATTAGTAAGAAAACTGTTGTTTAGCTTGTGAACTCCGAATTTTTAATAACAGGTGACATAAAAACAAAACTTTCCATTCTTAATAATGTAATCTAAGATTTTTGCTTTTCCCTGTCTGCATGATAGAACTCTATATTTAGAAACTCTCTCTTTTTCAAATTTCATTGGTTTGGGATAAAGACCAAACTTGGGGAGGGAAAGGGAGACTTTGGTACTCTTGCAAGGTAGAACAGAAAGTAAAATAATATTGCATTATTTATTATATAGATGTATGTTATTTACTGGCATTCTCAGAAATATTTTCTTTATTTTATGTTTTATATTTGCATTGTAAACAAGTTAAACATTAAATAAAGCCTAAGCACTATTCTTTGAATCCCTAATTGAATTGTAGTAGGATTTGAGGTTTTCACAGCAATGAGTCTGAAGATGCTTGTCTTCTGGGTTGTTGCGCCTTCTAATTTAATTGTGGTTATTAACACCTGAAGGTGAAATGTAGTCATAGATTACATCTAAATAATGTCATACCTTCTCAGTTTTTGCACCTTTCCTTATTTCACTGTTATATATTGCTGAAATTCTGCATTTGGCTAGCATTGAAAGCCACACATTGAATTTGTGCTTCATGTTTCTTTAATTTTAGGAGTGTCATTTGTTATGCTGTATTCATGTTCTTCATATGAGGTAAGTAGTGAGGAAATAGTGTGTAGATACGTTTGGAGCGTTACAGCTATCTGGAATATTTAAACTCTGGATTACTGCATTCGTTCTATATTTATCCCTTTACAGACAACTGTACTTTGAAAATTATGGTTTACTTGTTTTGGACCAGACAACCAAAATGGTTTTGTTGAGAGTTTATGTTGAATATGATTTATGTCATAAAGTTTTGTGTGTGGCATAAAATGTTTTTATGCTTCAATGTTACGAAGATAGAAGTGAAGTACACTGCAATGTTAAGTTCCTAAATCTTGCTTTATTAACAAAATGTTCTAGTATAAACAAATTATACAGAGCCAAGACTATCAAGAATGACCTTAATTTATTTTTGTTTGTGCAAGAAAGAATGGATGATCATAGAATACCAAAAAGGTGGTTGGAAATGAAGACGAGTATAAGAACAATCAGGAGCAGCCCACGCATACACAATGGTTAGATTAATTAGAGAGAGATGAAGAGAGAATATGAGACTGGAAGAGGGTATATGAAATGCAGGAATGGGCAGATAGAGACAGGGATTCCTGTGCAGATTAAGGTTGGGGCCACACGACCGTACAAAGTGCGTCCGTTGTAACGCACATCGTGATGTCCCTCATAGAATTATGAAGGGGCATATAGGGTACAACACACGATGTGCGTAACAATGGACGTACTTTGTACGGTCGTGTGGCCCCAGCCTAAATCCACAAGTTTGGAAATGACTTAAGGAAGACAATCCGTAACAAAGCACTGAGTATGCTTTCTGAGTGCATACACATCTGTATAATTGTCCTGTCAAAGAACTTTTATATGAAGAGAATATAATAAAATTTATAACAAATAACTCACCACAGCTTGCTTTAAGTATTGGTTATAATGGGAAGTATATACAAGAGTCAATAAACACAAAATTCTTGGGTTTGCAAATTGATAATCACCTAAATTGGACAAATCATATTATAAACTGATTCCTAAGTTAAGTGGCGCATGTTATGCAGTAAGATCTCTGTTGCATGTCAGCAACACTGACACACTCAGATCAGTATATTTTGCCTATTTTCACTCTTTAATGAAGTATGGAATATTTTTTGGGGTAATTCATCAAACAGTAAAAACATATTCACTTTAAAAAAGAAAATTATTAGATTATTGGCTGGTGTAAAACCTAGAAATTCATGTAGAAGTCTTATTTAAGAGATTGCAGATCTTAGCTCTACCTTGTGAATACATATTCTCGTTAATGAACTTTATTGTAAATAACCAA